GCATCGGCTCTTGCCCGGAGCGATCCGTTTCCCCGCCGCCGTCTCTGCTTTCCCCGCCGTTGCCGCGGCCCGGCACCCACGGGGGCATCGATTGCGATTGTGCCTGCGACTGTTCCTGTGCCTGCGCCGTTGTCCCTTTCGCTTTCGCTTTCGCTGTCGTTTCCGCAGCTCGCGGCCACCCTGCGATAGAGGCCGTCCCCGTGGTCTCCCTCCCTGCGGCGGACCCTTCCCAGGAGGAGCCTCAGGGCCAGGGCGTGCGGGGCCACGTGGCGGTCGTCCCTCGGGTCGAGCAAGAAGCGGGGGAGGCCCGCGGCGGAAGGGGGGACCCCCGGTGAGCCGCCGGACGGGCCGCCTCCTCCCTGCTGCTGCTGCTCCTGCTGCTGCTGCACCGATTCCATCCATTGCTCCCGGAGCTCGTGGGCCTTGCGCTTGTTCAGGTCTTCGAACGAAGCGGACCCAAAGATCCGGCGCAGGCTCTCGACGTCGATCTCTCCGATGTCTTCCTGCAGCGACTGCGGTTGCGGTTGCGATTGCTGCGACGCCATCTTTGTCCTTGTTTCTTTTGTCGTTCGCTTGCGTGCGGTGTGTGCTTTCGAAAGATTTGTTAAAAATGCCAACACTAGCTGCTCTCCTTTCCTGTGTTGTCTTGTGTTGTGTTGTCTTGTGTTGTCTTGTGTTGTCTTGTGTTGTGTTGTTGCCCCACGATTCCTTGCAGTGCTGCTGGAGACGGGCAGTGCTGGGCGGGCAGGACCGTGACGGATCCTCTGCACTTTGTTCCCATTCGGTCCCGTTTTTTCGCACGATCGACCACAGCGGGACGGTGCGAACGCTACGATTACGGGTTCGAGTACGAGTACGATTGCCGTACACGCACGGCTTCTATTCTTTTACGAGGTACTCGTACTTTGCGTACGTGCCGAACGGTACTTTGCTCGAACGGTAACTCGTACGTACCGTACGTACTCGTACCGTCTGTTGGCTGGGAGTTCCGGATTCCTGTACCGTAGATTCCGTTCCGGTGACACCCGCCCGCCTCGCCTCGCCTCGCGATCGAACGACAACGAACCGTGCCAAGAGTCAGTCGTGCTTTCCAGCCACGGAAGACAACCTTCGAGTGCGCTTCTGTTGGTCGGGTCA